TTTAGGCAAGAACAAAATATTCCTTAGAATGAGATATGTACAAAGATACTCTTATCAAGTGTACTAAAATTGCTGGGATTCATACATCTGGCACAGTCTATGCTAAGCACTTTACAGAACAGTTTCAATTGTAGCTTACTGTTTGCACAATGAATGTTTGCCTCTTGGGTTTAAAACATGTAACGCTGAGTCAATGAGTAAGAGCTGAGATTGGTTTTATAATTGCAGATAAGAAAGTTAAACATGTTTTAACTAAAAATAAAAACAACAACAAAAAATATGCATGATTTTTTCCCCTAAAGAACTAAAAAAACCCTACAGAATGAAATTTAAATTTCAGGTAGGAAATATTCACTTTCCTAGTTAAATGTGAAGAAGACTCCATAAAAAGCTTGCAGGTACTGTAAGATCTGAGCAAATATTTAACCTCACAGTGCACAGTGACATGATCTGGTGTGACCATGGACTGCTGTAGGGTGACAGTTTGCCTGATGGAGAACAGAAAATCCTTCATGAGTACACCAGAGTCATCCAAGCAAAAGTGGCTCAGCAGCAAGGATCAAAATATCACAGATTAAACAGAAAACAAAAGTGTCTGCTTCTACATGCTGAGAATTGTTCATTAATTTTGTTCCATCCTGCAATATTTTGCAAATTCTAAGCTACGACATTTGGAATGTTACCAGCTAAAATATGTTGGCTCCTTATGGTGTGTTGCAACCAATTCTGCAAACTATCACAGGGCGATGAGAGTTTTCTACACAGCTTCAGGAGTATGCTTTGCAGAGAACATGAATATATTATCTCCTTTCTGTACTTAGACTGCAGGGACACCAGATGCACAGAAATCATAGTATATGAATACAGGATTATGGAGAAAAACCCTGCAACAACAAGTGTGTGTCTTGGACATGGCTCTCCCTCATGGAAGCTCTCATGCTGGAAACTCTCTGCATACAGAAGCAAGTAAGCACAAAATTGCAGCGCAGACAAAGCATATATATGTGCTGCTTAAAGCACAACATCTGTGCACGACAGGCACTTCGAAGATCAGATGCAGCTTCAGGCTTAAGGGAACTTGTAGGAAAGATGGTGAGAGAATTTGCCACTGCCTGTAGGTATAGGACAAGGAGAAATGGTTTTAAATTAAAGAGGGTAGATTTAGGTTGGATATTAGGAAGAAATTCTGCACTATGTGTGGTGAGGTACTGAAACAGTTGGGCAGGAAAGCTTTGGATACACTCAGGGCCAGGTTGGATGGGGCCCTGGACAGCCTGATCTGGTGGGTGGCACAGCATTTGTTGGTTTCTTTCTTTTTTTTTTTCTTTTTAGATGAATAATTTTTGCTCATAGCATTGCTACCAGCCTGTGAATTCAGCATTAGTTTCATCCTGCCACAAAGCAGAAGCCTTCATTTTAAACCTCACATCTATCATTTTTAGCCCAGATCCCCATCCTGCTGAGATGGTTTTGAAATGTGATGCTCTATTGCCATGTCTTCTGGCCTCATGTTACCTGTAGAGGCTGTACCGAGAGTTGTCATTCCTTCCATTGTGGCATTCTGGAAGGTGCTGAGTAGGACTGGCAGTAGGACCAAGTCCAGGAGAACTGTCACTCGCCCACCCAGTCACCTTCCTGTGGGACTTTTCCCTGTCACTTCATCCGACAGAATGAAGAATAGAATAGAATGAAATAGAATGGAATATGTATAATGGTAATAACAAATATAATATATACATGTGTATATAATGTTAATATGATATATTCTGATAAAGACTATAATAATAGATGTAATATATATAAAAGATCCTGTTGTATTTTTAGTACATGGTATCTATACATACGCATACATTTGATATTTTATATAAAACATATATGTTTATACTTTTTTGTATTATGCATATATATGTACGTATATAAAAATAAATATAAAGTAAAGCAGCAGTTGTTTTGGGCCACTAATGAGCAAGCTGTTACATGATTGCCCAAAACAGCCCATAAGCCTCCCAGCCCTTGACCATGTGGAAATCTCCACCTGCAGAACAGCTAGGTTCGTTAGGAGTGCATTAGAAATGTCGTAATTGGTTGGGTGATAGGGCTGAATGAGCATTTGGCAGTGGCAGCCACAACAACAGATTCCGACAACAGACTGCAGCTTCTTCGTTCACAGACACCTCCACGCTGGGGAAACACTGCTTTGAAACGCCACTGCCTCTTAACACTGCAGATGACAGCCACTGAGCAAGGCAGAGTGAATTTTAACACAAGCCTCTAGATCATCTGTGGTTTTTCTTTTTTCTGGCTTTAAGCTGTGGAAGGATTGACACCCAAAACTGAAATTAATAGATTCAGTTGCCACTGGCTTTCCCCACATTTTGAATAAATCTGCTACAGAGCACACCTTTATCATGGATACTTTCCTGCACTCTTCTTTTAGTCATCATTTTTAGCATCATTATGATGCTGCTGTTGATAGGAGGGACAAAATAACAGTGCTTTCAAACTACAGCTCAGAAGGAGAAAACTACTTCTCATCCACTCATTTGCCAAAGCTGAGCAATATGTGGATTTGGATGTCTGCCCACTGTAATACACTGATGCTCCTTTTTTTTTTTTTACTTTTTGCTGGATTGTCCACACTGACCAAAGACACTCACTTTGTAGAGCATCAACGAGGAGAACTGTAGGACAGACCACATGAAAAGGCTGATGAAATAAACAAAGCTGTACAGAAAAGGGGAGAGGCTCTGCTTCTCCTCCCCATCCCTTATATTTTCCAGTTATATTCGGTATTATGTATAAATTCCATACAGAAAATATTTTGACTGTCTTTAGAAAATTATGGCTTTGAACTCCAGCAGTGGAAATAAAAGCTTGCAGAAGGTCACAGTACCCACCCTCTAAATACCACAAATCTTGTGATTCTGTACTCACAGGAAAACTTTTGTTCCTGTAGCTTTTCACAGGACTAAAGCCTAGATCCAGCAGGGTTCATGTGATGTTTCTCAGCTAACACCTGTCAAGTGAATGCTTGATGGCAGCTGCTGCCTTTTGCTGGACAACAAATAGGAGAAAAGAAAGCAGTAACATGAAGGAACTATCCAGCAGCACAACAAACTGTGATAAAGACCAGACGTGGGCAACACCTGTAATGGAAAATGGGAGATGAGGCAGAACAACAGAGCTGCTCACTCTCACTGCACTCAGGCATCCTCTCCTCCAGTCCCCACCTGGACTGCTGGCACAGGGCCTGCCACGGGCCCAAGCCTGGCATGTAGCTCATGGCCTGGCATGGCCACAGCACAGCCACAGGCTGAGATCCCATCAGGGTACACACCGTGCTCGTTGCCTAGGAAACACGCAGTGATTCCTGCCTGGTGAAAAGATTTGCCAGTCCTGCCCGTAAATAAAGTCCATAAATCAGCAGATCAGAGCCAAGGTCAAGGAGCTGAAGAGGAATCAGCCACGCTCCACGGGGCTGCCTCATAAACAGCAGCACCATCGGAGTCTTTCAAGCTCCTCTCAGCTACTAGGCAGATCCATCAACAAAACAATTGGCCTAAACTAACATTGCTTTTACAGTATTTTTCACAGAGAAGGAACACAAAAAAACAACTAACATAGCTGCCACGGGAAGAAGTGCAGCCTTGGAGAGCAGAGCCATGGGCCCAGCTAGCGGCACCTGCAAACCCATCAGCGTCCTGTGAGCAGTTACACTGCACTGCTGAAATGCTGGGGGTGCTCAGCTGTAGAAAGAGTCCTGCAGTGACCACCGTGGCATGGGTACATTGGCATGGGCAGAGCTCCTACCAGTTCATTACTCATTCAGGTGCACTGCCAGACTGGTTTGTCAGTTTTTCCTGAATCCGTTTTGGACACCTGGCAGACTTCAGCAGAAAGCTGGAGAATGGCCTTTTGCTCCAGGCTGAGAGGAATAAAGGTGAGTGGGTATGCAGTGATAAGGTTAACTGCAGCACCATGCAGCTGCAGCTCCATCAGGCTAGGCAGGAGGAACACATGGTGTTCCTTTAAGGGATGCTTGGTTTGAAGAAGAAAAAATCTGAAAGATGCCTGATCGCTGGCCTGAAAAGTTGCCATCAAGACTGGATAGCAGGGATGTAATCAACTGATTTACTGCAGTTGTGACTGCTGCTAGCAAGCACGTGGAGAGCCTGGACCCATCTCTCTCCCAAAGCCATCACTGTCCCCAGCAGCTCAGAGGTGAGCTGGTGTTAGTGCTGCTGCACTGCTCGCTGAGACCTCGTTTCTGAGCAGGGCAGTGGGGCAATGGCACAGTCAGCAGGCAGAGGCAAACTTCATAGATCAACAACTCCAGCACTCAAAGCTGGGTGCATATAGGGGACTTCATTTTTAGCCAGCATACTGCTTGGCTTTCCTGCGAGATCGTCCCCATTCACTTGAAAGGAAGTGTCCTGGCAGTGTGTTGAGTGCTGCCTGTAGCCAGCTGCACTCAGGGGATATTTATAACCATTAACGTCGTGGATGGGAGGTGAGTTTGAACGCATGTGTCACACTTATTCCCTCGCAGGGGAGCACCACTGCCTGACATCTGAACGGAGCTGCATAAGGCCCGGACGATGCCCTCCCCCGAGCCTAAGCCAAGCCTCCCAGCCCCGTCCCGCAGCGCTCTGCCCTCGCTGTCTGCTGACAGCCCAACTTCGCGAGACCCCTCCGAGCGTCCCCCGCTCCCCGCGGGCCGGATCCCCGGGCTGACAGATCTCCGGCTCCGCACCCCCCTTCGCCCCAGGGCCGGCTGAGCCTTATTTGTTCCGCACGGGGGGGCCGCCCCCCCTCCCGCAGCCCCGTCCCCCCACCCGTGGCGTGGAGCCCTCCCCCCGCCCAAGCACAAAGGCCGGGAGGGTGGGCAGCAGGCGGCGGGGAGCCCCGCGCCGACCACAAAGCTGCGGCGGGGAGGGGGAACAGAGGGGGGAAGGCAGCCGCCCCCCGCCAGGACACACGCACACGGGTGGGTCCCCTACCTGCAGGTGCCTGTCCGCGGGAGAGCGGGGCTGCGCGATGCCGCCCGTATCGCATGGGGGGATAGGTGATGGTGCTGGGAGTGCTCCGGTCCTTTCTCCTCTTCCCTCCTCCTCCTCCTCCTCCTGTGCGTGTGCGTGTCCGTGTCCGTGCGCGCTGCCCGGCTCGGCGGCACTACCGCCGGAGGAGGCAGGGACAGGCTGCGGCGGCTGTCAGCTACCGGAAACCGGGGCCGGGTCGCACACACCGCAGGAAGTGTGCAATTGCACACCCGCACACGCCGCCGGGCACGGGGCGGGGGTTAGCGCTCGGCACCCGCACCGCGCGGAGCCCGGAGCGGGGCCCATGGAGAGGGAGGAAGAAGAGGTAGAGGAGAAGGAGGAGGAGGAGGAGGATGGAAGAGGAAGATGAGGATGGAGAAGAAAGATGTGGATGGAGGACTAGGAGGAAGATGAGGATGGAGGAGGAGGAGAAAGATGAAGAAGATGAGGATTTAGGATGAGGATGCGGGAGGAAGATGAGGATGGAGGACTAGAAGGAGGGTGGAGGTGCAGATGCTCAGGAGACAGAGTTAATCGGATAGGCAAGGAGGTGGAAGGCTGCCCACAGGACAGTGAGGTTAAAAGACGAGGGAGCAAAATGGCCCCTGGGGATGGCGCTGGGCATGCATCCATCTTCATCAAGGATTTACGTGAAGCCACGACTGTGCCACCAGCACTAACGGCACAAAATAGCTGTCCTCGTTATTCTGATGAAGGTGTATTGACATACACCAGCTGAGTTACTCCAAGGAGCCATGCCCACATAACTGCTGCTCAGTTATTTTATGCAGATACAGAGATACTCAACTTATTTCTTGCATTTTTTTTTTCTGACATGAGATCACAGGTACAACAACACCTGTTTGCTAATTTCATGTAGGGCAAATTTGCACACAGATGCATGTATTTGCCTCCTACATCTGTATAAAGCATGATAAAAAAGCAGTCACACATCAAAGCAATTTATCTTTCAGGAAAACTGTAACTTTTAATTTCTTCATTTGTCCACAACTAGAAATGTCAACTGCAACATTACTCATATGAGAATATTTTTGCAATTAATCATGGGAGTGCTAAACATGCACTTGCAGTGTTACCTCTTAGTGCTGGTTTCTCCTACAATAAAGCAAAATGTGTGCCAAAGCAAACTCTGTTCCTCTCCTCCACTGGCCTTTATCCCCTTCCTTGCTGCATCAGTGTAAAGGAGATGGAGCTGGATGCTGCTGGCAGAATACCAGCTGCCTGCTCCATGCCTCAGAGGTTCTCTTTCCTCCTCTCTCATATGCCAGCATGGCAAAATTTGAATGGACTAGCACATGCTACGATGGCAACAGTGCTTATGCAAGATTATAATGGAGACAATCTGGAAGTATATTAATGCCAAAAGCAGTGCTGTTTCCAGGTCTGCCTGTGATACAGCAGGGGAATCTGATAGCAGCATAAACCTCATCAGGGGAAGACTGTCATGCCTCCTCCTCTTGTTATTTTCAGTGAGATGCCATCACATTGCTGCAACACAGCAGGGATCTCAAATACATTGAAATTGAAGGTTATGTGTTAAAATCCTGAAGACTGAGAAGTGGAAGAAGTCAATACTAGAAGGATTAGCCATGACTAGAAGGGACAGCTGTCCCCTATCTGAACACATGACACTCTGCTCCCACCTCTTGCTCTTAGTAGAGGTACGTGGAGGCAAAGCACTGGTGACACTGAGGAGGGGACCATCACCCTCCTGGTCTCCACATGCCCTCAGGTTCCTGTCAAGGCTGGGATAGATTGCCATTGAGGAATGTGCTCCCCTTGGGTTACCAGACACACCCCCATCAGAGGCTACACAGGTCATACAGCACCAAGGTGGCCTGCCAATTGGTCTTTTCAATATTCAATTCATGTATTTCCAAAAGTTATGTCAATAAGGAGCTCCTGCAGAAGACACCTGCCTTCTAAACGAACACTGAAAGGAATTAGCTTCCTAAAACCAGGTGCACTGTAGTCAGGCAACAAATGGGACTTGCTCTTTGCTGGTGGTCTTCCACCTTTTTGTTCACTCCCTTTCTGCAGCTGAGGAGCACACTCTGTTAGCAGTGACATTAATGTGTACTGCTGCTGAATTGTACGTGAGTTTTCTTTCTGCACTTGATTTTGCAGATAACTCAGAAGCAGTCCATGAGACACATTGCTGTCTTGCTTCTCATCTCCCCTTCTCCAACCTCCTTTGCATTTCTTCTTTCTTCTTCTCTCATGTTTTTCTGGCAGCAGGACGAATAGCCTCAAAACTTGCCCTCCTATTGCCTTTTACCTGCTTCCTTCCTACTCCTTCACTTCTTCATTGTTAGGAACAGCCCCAGGTCAATGTCATGTCTGCACTCATTAAATAAAAAGAGAATTTGAAAATCCTTTCAAACCTCTGATGCCATTGCTTGGCTAATTTGTACTATTATCATCACAGTGTTTTATGCAGAGCTATAACTGCACCAGAGGTTTTTAGTTCATATCACATGTGCTGCCAACAAGCTCTGTTAGCCTAATAATGTTGCCAGCCCTTCAGCACGGAATTACAAGCTTTAGTTCACTGCCTATGTTAGCAACTGGAAGGTCAGCAAGAAGAAATGCTCCTGTGAGAGCAGATCTCTCTCCAGAACGGAGAGCTGCTGGATTGTGCTGGTGTCTGCCAGGTGGGTTCATCACTTCTTCTTGCATTCTTTGCTGTGCATTTGGTACTTTGATGCTGAGCTCTGTCAGCACAAATACCCCAGCTCTGTGCCAGGCACCTCGAAGTAGATGGTCTGCATGTTCAGATGCAGAGTTCTGTCTCTAATCGGATGAGCTGACAAATGTTATGTCTGCATCCCAGACTTAACATAGACTTTATTCTACAACATAGAACAACTCATTTTCTGTTTACCCATCTGTGATGTAACCAATTGCAATCCTCACCAGCCTGATGAGGAATTTGCTCACTCCTGGCTGGAAACAGAATATCTTGTGGTGCTCGGTGTGAGCTTACACTGTACAGAACTGCGTAGCAGCCTGCCAGGCTGCTAAGGACAAGGGCAAAAACAATGGGCAGAGGCAAAAGCCTCTCAATCCCACAGGCACGAAGTCTTCCCCACGAGACGACTGGCTGAACCAGTAGGTTGCCAGATGGAATGTATGAGTTGCCAAATAGGAGGTAAAGGGATCTCTGTCCTCCTGTTTGGAAACACTTGCCCACTTGCCTGAAGAAAGGTCTGAATGTTGTATCATCCCTCTGTCATGGACTGTAATGCAGGTACCATGACCATGCAGAAAGCAGGTGGCACCTAGTAACTGAATGGCTTAATTAGAAACCTACTAGTATTCCCTTGCATCCCTCCAGCACTGTACTATTTATCATGACCACAGATGTGGCTGGGCCTGCACATTAAATGCACTTGCATGCACTTAGCTGCTAAGGATGTTGCAACAAGTCCCAGCAGTGCAAAGGCTGCCTGGTGCCATCAGCTAGCAGCACCACTTGTTTGAAGAAGCAGCCCCCAGAGACAGCAGTGTGAGTTAAAACAAGTCTTCCTTTTTAGACATTATTTGTATGATCCAGCATGATTTGTTGTTGTCTGTCAGCTGGAGCTCGGAAAGAGTAACACCTGGATGGTGTCAGAAAGTCCCAAAGAGCGTGCTGGCCTCAGCTGCTGTGAGAGCCTTGTGGTGTCTCACTGTGCCCCAGCTCATTTCAGGTATCCTTCCAAGATGCAGGCAGACAGCTGAATCCTCATGGGAATGGCCTCCAGCTGAACCAAACATACAAACACAGAAATTCCAGGGAGACGGATTCCTACCCCAATTGTCCATACATCACTCTCAAGTGCTCCTGCAATCCCCTCTCAGAATACTAGACAACCATCCTCCCTTCAGTCACACTCCTCTTTGGATGAAAGTGCTCAGTAAGAGCAGATGCCTGCAAACAGTACTAATGGGCAGAACAAGGTGGGATACTCTGGTGGGAAATTGGTGCTCTGGAAGGGAGGTGCAGGAGGTGGGCCAGTGAAGAAGATTCAGCTTCCAGACACCCAGCATGGAAATTCCAGAGCAACAAGGTGCATGGCAGTTCCTCCCTAACAGCAGGAAGATGAGTGGTTGGACTTGTAGACAAGTTGTGTGGTGAGTGGAGTGGAGGTGGGGCATTAAGACACTCCAGCAATACTGAGGGTTACTGAGTAAGGAAGCAAACTCTCTCTCATGGGTTGAGAGAGCTTCCTATGCCCATGTTTTCAGTAGTGGTATAGCAGAACTACGCTGATATAGGGAGGATCAGAACAAGAAGAATCAACGTGGCTAGAAACACTGACAGCATGTCTGTGGACATCGTTTGTCCTACACATAGATGGGGCCTCATGAGGGCAGAGCAGAGGGGGACAATCACCTCCCTCTCCCTGCTGCCACTTTTCTGTTGAATCAGCCCAGGATACAGTTGGTCTTCCAGGATGCAAGCACACACTGCTGGCTCATGTCCTGCTTTTTGTCCACCAGAACCTCCAAATCCTTCTCCACTGGGCTGCTCTCAATGAGTGTCCCAGTCTGTACACTGGGAAAAAGCAAAGCAAAGGACATGACAGGGAGGCTGTTACTGGGAAATTGTGTGGGAAATGTCTAATAAGGAGAACAGAGTGCAGCAGGGACAAAGTTAATTGTCTGGGGGGAGGTTTTTTTTAGGTTTTTCATAGGAAACATTTGGAATTCAGAGGACAATTCATTTGCCAAAGCACAGCAAAGCTGCCTCATTTGCTTATGAGGCAGCTGCATGATCCATTTGCTTATGAGCAATCCATAAAGAGGAAGAGCAGCCAAACTACTTCTCCTTCACACACTCATACATGTTCTCTTTATGTAAAGAAAGTTGTTAAAAGGAGAGCTTGTGAAGTACCATAGCCATATTCCTGGAACATCCGTAATTAAAGACAAACACAATGTTTTATAGTGAAGAATTACCAGTTAATTTACCCTTTGCTTACCTGCCAGTCCCAGAGTTACTTGGGGGGGCACTGCATGTTGCCACACAATTTCTGTCACTCTCAAAGACACTTTCAATTCTTCATCTTTGAAAGACCATGATCCTTCTCTGCCAGTCGATCACCACAGCATTTGGTTGCCTCCTACTCAACACTGTCCTACATCCCGCCTACACAGGTCAGAAACCAGGGCACAGAGAGAAAAAGGGATCCTCAAGGGTCAAAGGAATCTTCCATGATGGAAAATAATGGAGGACACAAGACCACAAGAAGCCAGATTCAAGCAGAGA